TGATCCGGCAAGGCATTTGAAGCAGGCGTTGTTGCCAGACTGGCAACAGTTGCGTTGGACAGCTATAAAGGGCAATGGCGAGAGAAGAAGAGGCAACGGATGTAACTGAATAGTTATCCATTAGCTGTAGAAGTAGAATTCTATCGCGGTTCGCCGCTCCTGTAATCCAAGAACCTTGTTACATTCGCAATAAAGCTCACCGATTCACCCCAAATCCTTCCACATACATCGTGTTCGTCACATCTTCGGGCTCCATCTGCATGCCGGCGGGCGGGCGGTGGCCGGCGGCATAGAGCTGCCACTGCCACTGCCAGCCACGCGCGCGGCGGGCGCGTGTGCATGCGCCGTCGCGGGCGCGATTGGCTGGCCGACGAACTAACCAAATGGAAAGCCGCCCGGCGATGGCATTGCGTTGCCCGTCCGCGGCCCATTATTTTGGGCGCGGGCGCGACAACCTTGCTGCCCAGCCCAAGTGCCGATCCAAGAGTTGACAAGGTTCGCTGCGGCCGGTGTCGGTTCACCGAAAGGAACGCCCCGCCGGCCGCCTGCCTGTCTGTGCTTTGGAAGGAAATATGGTTGGGTTATCGAAAAAGCAGGAGCAGCACCCAACGTCCCAACTGCATGCACATGCATCCGTGTATGTATGGACTAGGATAGACCGACCGACCTCTCCGCCGCGACCATTACACCGGCCGGCGGCCGCACCGAAATGTGCTGGTACAGATGTAGACGTGCACAGTGTATGTGTATATCTGGCGGCGATCAGCCAACTCGCAGTGCTTTCTGCTTCCGTTCCGGACCATGAACAAACACAAACCGGTTTTTGTGGCCTCAGCTGTGTGCGCCGAACGGCCCGGCCCGTGACTTCCCCTAGGCGCGTTACCACTGCATGTCGCGGCCCAGCCCAACTAACAACAACAACTAGTGCCCCCCAGCACCGGCACTCTGGTGGCAGCCCACCAAACCGACACTCCCGGTGGGCCACGCATCTCGCCGTCCGGCAGTCGCCGGTGTTCTCCCCTTCACTTCAGCCTCACTACGCATTAATAAAAATGTTCGAATGGTGTAAATGTTTGTTCCGTCAGTGTAAATATTTGTTCCAAATAAATAATTAAACTGCGTATGGAAACGGACAGAAATAATTAAGATGAGGGGTGCGGAGCAGAAAAAATTGTAGCCCGATTGTAACAATAATCCGTGTATACCTGTTCCGAGCATCTGCTGCACGAACGAAGCATCCAGTTGGCACGCAGGAGTCCAGGACACGGGCATACAGGCTACAGCAACACTCAGTTTGATCTCAACGAGGGCGATCAGCGGTGCAGCAGGTATCCATCACTATCTTATAGAAACATACTACAGCAGTCTCATTCTCTGACATGAATTTTACTCATCTGTTAACGTTCAGGAATCACCATATGAAGAACGCCAGGGAAAACATTTCAGAAAATGAGCTACATCCCGCACCCACAGATCCACATGATAATCCAAGTTCAACCAAACAAAACATGTTGCCTGTGAACAATAAAAATAAATACTAAGTCTATTACCGTAGTCAGGGATCACATACCTTTAAATAACACTGTAGTCTGCACCGAAAGCAAAGTCACCAATCAATCCGCCATCTTAGAGTGGTTTATCCAACATTATCACAAGTTAAGTTTAACTACTGCAGAAGATAAATTTATTGTGCTGGTTATCTCTACTAATTCCTTGTAGTCAGTTGACATTTGGTACCGGGTACGCTTGGTGTCTGCAGCAAACTCCGGGGAGAGCAGAAGTTGCTGAACAGGACTGCAGAGGACAATGAATCTGCCTGCAGATATGAATGAACAGGGTCAGCATATTTGAACAGGAATCATACCAAATTAATCCACATTTGCGAGAAAGCACTACAACTGCATAATCAATCAATCATGTAAATGGTGAATTTCAACATAAAGCAACTTCTATTATATCCATCATTACCCACATTAAGCGTCGTCCAAACACACAAAAATCCTGCAAAAACAATATACTTGAAGCTAGCTCAAAGTGGAAAACAATAAGTAACTGGCATAGCATCAAAATCTAACATTCCTCAAGATTTCGATCTAATAGAGAACATGAAGAAACTCTAGATTGAATGAAGATCTGTGGAAGAAACATCGCTGGTGAAAGTCAAATGTGAAAAAGAAAAAAAAAACAAATATACTCGCAAGTCCTTACTCAAAACCAAAACCACAGTAGTTGAAGCTTTAGAAATGGTTAAGGAATGAGACTACTATACATTGAAGCCCTAGCAAAGAAAGAACACCACTGGTAGTCCGGTATCCTGACAAAGTCTAGCAAGAATCTTCTTCATGAGACACAGGTTTCGCTTGTCTAACATCAAGCACTAGCATGGAATGGAAAAACCAGAATTCTAATGGTTCATGAAGTGGCGCCAGAACCTGGAAAGTACAGAGCAAGCACAGCGTATGATAATGTTAAATTCTATAAACCTTGAAATATCAGGTGCTAGTTGGGAGGCAATGCATATAAGCTCGACAAGCCAAGGCAGTCCTAGCAAAGAAGTAGTCTTTCTCTCTCCCTTGCACATGGTGCTAACTTAAGCAACTGGTGCTAGCATCTGTGAGCTAGCACTACCCGCTTCAGCATATTGCACCCTCCCTAGTTTTCTCTCTCTTGCTAGCACCCCTAAAACACCAAATCACTAAAGTTTGTACATCTTGCATCGAGTATGTTTCAGTAAATCAAATGGATCTTTTCCCAATCGACTGTAGCCAAAAGAACAATATGGTGTATCCCACCTATTATATTCCATACACCACATTGTTCACAGTGTATTGTGCAAGCAGTAAGTTGAAACTGCTATGTGAGAATTTGTTACATGACAATCAACAAGGTCTATCCTAGTACAACTCATCATTTTCCACTCGATTCACTATAGCATCCACAGTCCACACTTACCCCTCGTCTTTATCCTTTCCTCTTTCTGAACATTCTCACAGCAATAAAGCCAAGCTTGCCTCACAAAAAAATGAAGCAAAAACAATATACTTGAAGCTAGCTCAAAGTGGAAAACAATAAGTAACTGGCATAGCATTAAAATCTAACATTCCTTTCAAGATTTCCATGAAATAAATTATTCCGTTAAACTCTCTCTGTTCCAAATTATAGTTCACTTTGGTTTTGTCCTAAGTCAAACTTCTTTAACTTTGACCAAGTTTATAGAAAAATCCACCAACATATATACACCACCGAATTAGTTTCATGAAATTCTCCATGAAATACGTTTTGATATTGCATTTATTTGAACTTGTAGATGTTATTGTAATTTTTAAACTTGGGTCAAAGTTAGAGAAGTTTGATTTAGCACAAAGCCAAAGTGAACTATAATTTAGAACGAATGAATACCTATTAACTCGAGAGACAGTAAATAATTAGCTAAATTACAATGCAAAAAAAATTTATCTTTGGCTAAGAAAATTATAATGACCTTTTGCAATCACAAAAGGGCGCAAGGCCGGTACCCAGTCTGAGCTCTCCTCTGTGCGTCTGGGAAGGTGTCATGTGTGCAGCCCTACCGTGGATGGTAGTGGTGGGAAGGCGATGCGTGTGATCGCGCAGTGTTGGTAGAGGGTTTGGGAGGGCTTACCTGTATTTGCAATGCTCTTGAGGAGGGCCGCGGACTGACTCGAACCTGGGACCTTCCGGTCACAAAGGGTTGACCGGATAAAGACTCGAACCCAGGACCTTTTGCAATCACAGAAGTATAAAAATTATTCCAATATGTTGGCAGTCATGTATGATAGAACCGACCAAATCAATTGCTTTGTTTAGTTCTGAGTAGCATGTCAAAACCATATGCTAGTAGATGGTCAGTCAGTATACGCATGGAAGATATGCATGAGTGCAGTTAAATATTATACATGGCCCAAACATGTATGCTACTAACTGTTAAGATGAAGCACTAGAGGATCACCACTATTCTGTGATATGCTGACAGCATGGTATTGTGATAAGAGACATTTATTTCATTACCAGGTTTCTGATAAATTCTTTCTTAACTGTACAGTACCATTCAACACTTAATTAGCACAAGTGCTCAAAGGTGGCAAAAGACAATGTGACCAAAAGAATGCCGGCATATTGTGTTCTGACTCTGATTAATGAATTGCATGGAGATAGGAACAATGACTAATGAGTTTACATGTTTCAAGTAACATGTTCCCATGAAGAGAGAACTCCTGAATATGTAGTATGACATGGCATAGACACACTTAAGTCAGGAGAAAATGGCATGTTGATAACAAGTCAACAACAAGGCAACGGTTTTCCTCCAAAAAAAAAAAATGGTTTTATGTAACCAATGCTAAATAGTCAAACAACATGATTATGATGAATGTAGCAGCTGTTTTTGCACTAGGTCCAATGTAACTGACTAACAAGAAGTGGCAAGAATTCACCAATCTCAATAACCAACTACTACCTGCTCACACAAGATGCAACCTAAAAGGAGAAACATAATAAATTAATAGAGATCAATCTTTTATCTCTGTGACAGATTGAAAGTAGAAAAAGGATCATAGTTGATGCTTATAAGGAGATAAAAACATCAACCATCCAAGTTTCGAAAACTACGCTCTTTTAGACACCATAATGCATAATGGTGCTAAAGGAGTTGACTTAAGGGTACCATCCTGTCAGTTACAACAAGAGCTGCCTGTGTACATTTACACAAGAATATGACTAAAGGGAAGAGCTTCTGGTTGCAATATAGATCTAGGGATATATTAAATCTACCAATCATGTAAGAAGCTGCAACTCAGAACAAGAACGCCATGAATGATTGCTCCAAAAATGAACCAAACAAAAAAAACCTAGGTGAATAATAACTTCAGATATACAGCACTTACACTAGTTATAGGAGGAAATAGAACGTAATACTAATAGAACAATGTGTTTCCAAGAGTTTCAATTACCATTTAGCTGGAGATGCTGCCTAGAGTGCAAAATTAGCGCCGCCTCCTTGGATGATCATCATCACCATCATCCCTTGATTGGCTCCTTGACCTTGCCCGTACTCTCCTATCGTGGTCAGCACGCTCAGTGTACTCCTGGTACCTCCTATTGCCACCACCATGTCGATCCCTCTGATTCCAGTGCTTCTCCTGCTCCCTTTCCTTGTCCACGATGCGCTCCTGATGGCGACCCTTCTCACAATCATTCTCTTTGTAATAATCACCCCCATCACGGTCAGCCTGCCTTCTATCAGGATATCTCACATTGCCAATGCTCCTCTCCTCGTTCTTATTACTTAGTCCTTCGCCTCTTAAGCCACGCCCCTGCTTCCCGTAGTTCCCATTCCCAAACTGCTGATGTGCCTGTTGGTGCTGCCTTGGTGCTCTTAGCTGCTGCCATGGCATTTGACAACTTCTGAAATTATATTCCTGCTGTGCACCCCATAAGCCCCCAGATATCCCGTGACCATGCCAGACTCCTGAGCCTTGCATCGCCATCCCACTAGCTGCAAAGAACGGTGGGTTCATGTGGTGTGCCAATGCCGACGACATCATACCATTGCCCATCATCCCCGCATTGTACTGTGCCATTGACTGAAACCCACCGTACCCACCAACACCTCCCAAAATGCCAGCGAACGGCCGGCTAGGTGTCGGCCGGGGAACCACGGACGGCTGAGGTGGCGCCAGAGGCGGCCGATCACCCAACGCGGGGGCCATATTGCCTCGAACCGCCGTCGCATCGCTCGCACCACGACCGCCGTTGCCGAGGCCTCTGGTAGGGTTGGGGGACCGGGCGGCTTCGGTGTAGGAGTCGGAATCGTCGCCCAGGCGGTGGAGGGAGGGAGGGCGGTCGAGCGAGGCGACGCAGTGGCGCCCGTGGAATGTGTGGCCATGGAGCGCGGTGGCGGCCGAGGCGGCCGCGGCGGGATGGAGGAAGTCGGCGCGGCAGATGCCGCGCGACTTGCCGGTGAACTTGTCAGAATAGAAGCGGAGGCCGTAAAGCGCGGCGGCGGCGTCGTGCGGCGCGGGCGCGAGCGCGGCCTCCACCTCCGCGTCCGTCGTCCACCAGTGGAGCTCGCTGATGTACAGCGGCGTGCACCTGGGCGGCGACGAGTAGGAGGCGCCGCCACCGCGCGGCGGGCGCTGCGGCTGCGGCTGCGTCGGCGTCATGTGGTGTCTCGGCACGGGCGGAAGAGGCTGCGGCGGCTGGTGTCGCGCGGTTTCGGGTCTCGGCTGCGGCGCGGGCGCGGGTAGGTGTTCCGGAGGCGGGAGACGGTGCGGCGACTGGGGTGGGAACTGGATGGAGCGGCCGGGGGATGGGGTTTTCGGAGGCGATGTCGGAGCCGGAGAGGGGGAGAGCGGCAGCAGCGGGATGAAGCCGACGTTGACGTCACCGTAGAGGTCGTCGTAGTCCTCGCCGGCGGAGGGGGTGAGGGGGAGGCGGGCGTCATCCTGAGCCGCGGCGATCGCCTCCTCGGCGCGCGGAGAAGCGGAGGCCGCGAGGAACTGGCCGCCGGCGTCGTCCCCGTCCATGGGGAGGAGGCGGACGCGGCGAGGAGGGTTTTAGCGTGTGGGTTGGTTTGGTTGGGTGGGTGGTGGTGGGGTGCTAAAGTACCAAAGTTGAGTTGAGACTTGAGAGCACCGCAGCGGCGCAGCCGCCAGCAACAGACGAACAGAGCAGCGGGGGAGAGGCCGCAACAACACTGGGGTATTTTTAATTTTATATTTAAATAACTCGGTCTTTTTTTAATACTATATAGCAAACGTTGCAATGGAACTATAGCCCTGTTTAGTTTTCAAAAGTTTTCACCCTAAAGTGTCACATCGAATCTTGCGGCACATGTATGGAGTATTAAATATAGATGAAAAAAAATTAATTACACAGTTGGGTGAGAAATCGCGAGACGAAACTTTCGAACCTAATTAGTCCATAATTAGACACTAATTGCCAAATACAAACGAAAGTGCTACAGTAGCTGAAACCAAAAAATTTCACCATCTAAACGCGCCTTATATTCGCTTGAACTTATTAACTCTATTTATCAGTCATGGTATAGTATTTTTTCTCACAACAAAACAGCACCAGCCGACTTATTAGCCGCAGCTCCTCTACTCATATAGGATATAGGAAAGTGACAAGCCATGAAAACAATCTATACTTCCATTTTCTACTGGTATTACTGTTTTTATAGTTATGTAATAATTGTGTAAATATATACAGTTTATTCATTGAATTTATAGTTGAAAAGAGAAGTAGATGACCTTTATGTAAAGTTACCAACACAATAGTCTATGTGTTGAACGCTATGTATTTTACATGAAGTATACATTGGGGTAAGTTAAAAAAAAAGTAAACATTGGGGTTCGTTTAAAACAGTCGTTAGCTTATCGTCCATCAATGCTCATCAGTGCACCAGCATTTCCTCTCACCCTCCCTAACTCCTTTCCCCTGCTCCGCTTCTGGCACGCGTGCCGCCGCGCAGACTTCGAGCCAGCAGCAGCTTCCCTCTCCGTCAGTAAGGGAGCCTAGCTCCTCTGCGGTCGCTACCACACCCAAGCTTCACTTAAGCGCTCTCTGACACGGCTCATTTAAAACGGTTTCATCGATAAAGCTAAAGCCGTTGAAGCTAAAAAAACTAATTTTTTTTCGACTTCTAGTTTATTTTAATTCCAGCTTATAAAACGGCTTCACACTATAGTGCCTCAATTTACTCAAAATAGATAAAATCAAAGCCAATATAAACCGTGTCAAAGAGACCTTAGTCCGAGCGCCGCGCTCTCGTGAGTAGCATCGCTGCCGTCGCTGGTTGCCGCGACCGGCCGTCGCCGCAACATTCTGGCCAAATCCACCCCCACGGTAAGATTCCTCATATACGTCAATACGTGCGACCGTATTCAACCCCTCAACTGCGTCCCACAGCTCACGAAACGAGAACAACAGGAGCAACGGCGCCGGCGGTGCAGGGTGACGAGCGACTTTTTATGTCGAGAGGAGCGACGGGGCGGGAGCGGGCGAGCGAGTGGGCCGGCAGCGACGGAACGCAAGCAGACATGAGCGAGTGGGCCTGTAAGTTGGGCCTCAAACCGGACGAAAAATAGCGTGGAGCAAAATTTTAACTTTTTAATATTATGTATAGATATAGATACAATAGTTACGGTGGCTGGTGTCCGTTCACAAACAAATGCACTCATAGGATTACACTGTCAAATTGTCTTGAGTTTAACCAACTATATTGTAATAAAGAATAATAACATTTATGTATAACACCAAATGAATGGGTTATGAAAATATATTTTATGATGCACTAGTATCTAACAATACTATTTCACAAAAAAAAAGTATCTAACAATACTAGTTTGATGTCCAAATTATGAGTATTTTTTATAAATTTAGTAAAAATTAAAATAATTTGACTTAGAACAACTCTAGAAGTTGATTATTCTTAGGATGGAGATAATATTAAAAAAATACGCCCCACATGTCCGCTACACCGTGTCATTTGGTTTCCGCTCTGGCCCATCCAAACTCATCCTCTCATGGGTTTTCTTTTTTGGATTGAAGCATGGACCTATGTGTTCAGGTAGGGTTAGGGTCAGTTCAACCTAATTATGTGTTTATAACAAAAGAAAAACCTGCGTTACATTGTTGTCTTTTTTCTGGTGATGAGTTGACTCATCGGTAGCGATGCTCTTAACTTAGAATAAGAAACATATTTGATCAAGTTTGACATCTAAAAATTTAAATAGATACCTTATCAAGATGTATTTAAAACTACTTCGATATTATAGATGTTGATGTATTTTTTTATATAAATTTGATCAAAGTTTGAACAAAATTCAAAGTAAGGGCTGCTTTGGAACGCAGAAATTTCACAAGAACTATACAAAACTATCACAGGGAAAATGTAGAAAACAGAAAAAATTATAACAATGCAAAAGGGCCCTAAACTATAATTTCAGCAGAGGGAGAGTCCACTCTACATATAATTAACGAATGTCTAGCACTTTTTTGATTGTATATAACACGTTCACGTTGGAGTAATATATTGCAACTACTATTTTCTTCATAATACAAATGTACGTGGTTCTTCTATGTATTTGATTTGACAAAAAAATGTGGGTAATGCCTCCAGCGTGATCAATGACTTGAAAATCCTTTTTAAGGAAAAACATAATTTTGCCATGGCATACTACTTGATGTGATAACCATTACTATGTTTCATCTATTATTATACTTCCCGATGAGTCAAACACTTTTAACTTTGACCCAATATATATAACAAAATATTAATATTTATAGTACATAATTAGTATCACTAGAGAGATCATTGAATCTATTCTCATAATAAACTTATTTGCAGATATAAGTGTTGCTAATATTTTCTACAAATCTAGATTAAACTTAAGAAAGTTTGTCCAGCACGAATATCATAGCAACACTTATTTTGGAATTATATATATAGTACTACTCGAAAAATATGAAATGCTACATCATGAAAATGAGAAATAAATATTATTGGCATTCCAGAAAGAACTGTAGAGGCTGATGCATGTAGGGGAGGGCCGCGGCAGCCCCCCTACCCCTACCCCGACCTCGACGGTGGCCACGATGGCCTGGTAGTCCTCCTCCACCTCAGATCTCGACGACGGCGGCGCTCCTATGGCATCAGCATGGCAGCTCGGCCAGGGCGTCGTCGACCTCTGCCCAGGCGTGGTGGCGGATCCACAACGACGCCCTCCCCATGGTGGATCTCGGGTGGACGAGGGTCTCTGGCGGCGGCACATCACACCCCATGCGCAGATGGCACATCCCATCCCATCCTAACGGCGCATCTGTGCAGATCGCGCCCCACACCGGCGGCGCGTCCCACACGGACAACACCTCCACCGGTGATAGCCCGATGGCAGCTACGACGTCTTCCCCCCATCCCGACCGCAACAATGGTAATGAGGGGTAGCATGGTCCAATAGTTTCAATTAGCTAGAGGATCCAAAACCTGGCTAAAATTTAACTCTAGTAATTAGCTAGCTAAAGTTTAGTTGGGTGGATCCCAACAGAACCTAGGTGTGAAGAGATGGAATGGGAGCCCAATACGAGAAACAAAGACAATCTGGTTGGCATTTTGTTAAGTGGTGACGTCAGCCTTCAGTGACCGAGGTCTCACCTCCATGCTCCATTGTTCGCTGCTCCCAGATTGCTCCAACCATACCATTAATTAACTCCCGTTTGGAATGGAGGTGAAACAAAGGAAAACATAGGATTGAGATTCCATATGATTGAAATACTGTAGCATCCTTTCGTTTGTAGGAATTAGTCATAGGAATTCCATAAGAAACTTTTCTTTCCCTTCAATTCCATAGGAAAACTATAGGAAAAAAACAATCCACCTAGACCTCATGGGAAAATTCCTATGCACAAGGAACAAGGCAAACAATGGATTTATGAGACCAACTTGTGTCTAATCATGAGAGTGGAATAGAATAAATTAGCTTGGTTAAGAAAACAATCACTCTTTGCTCCTAAAAATCCTTTAAGATTCATGTGTTTCTCGTTTGCCTATCCAAACACCTAGGTATGAAAAATTCCTATGTTTTGGATTCCTCTATTTTTCACTTTGCATTCTATCCTATTCCTACGTTTTTCCTTTTCCTATGTTTTATATTCCTGCAATCCAAAGGAGGCCTTATTGTGCATGCATGTTTTTGGTCCCAGCCCCAGCACCAGCACCAGGTTCACTGTGCGCCTGCAGAGTCCTAAGTTCATAAGATTACCAATTAGAGAGTTGAATGGATATATGTTTTATAGAGGTATTCAAATAAATTCATCTCAAATTTGGTTCAATTTGAAGATAAGAAGCTCTAGTTTGAAATCTGTCTTTAATTTGCAAATCTAAGTGAGCTGAGTTCAAGCATTTGTTTGGGGGAGCAGTTCTCTAAAAAACTATTATGCTGACCATCATGCTTTTTTCCCTCACAAGTGGCCCATGACACTTGCTCTTGAAAATAAATTTAAATTAGCTGAATTCCTAAATTGTCTAAGAATACATGTTGTGTGATACGTAATATTTTTCCTATTGTTGTGGATTTAGTTTGGCAGTTGTAGTTTACGCCTTTACGGTGCTCAAGGGCCCCGCTAGAGTGACCCGCATTCCCCCGCGCACTCGCGAGCACGGTGGCAGTGGCACAATGCCATGCCCTAGCTCGCTCGGTCGCACGGATGAGCATTGTGTACCTATAGAGGCTGACAATCACCGCCCGAGCCTTATCATGTGAGATGTACCCCTTGATGGTGAACGTGCGTGTGCCCCTTACCTTTTCGTTCAAAATGATAAGTAATATAAGAGTTATAGTGTGATACTAGTGTGATACTAGTGTGATATGGGACTGTGTTTTGTTCCAAATCTGAAATTAACATTTAATTTCTTAATAATCCACTTTATCGTATTATTACTAGTAAACATGATTAACTGCTAAACAACCTTCCTGATTGGGAATGTAAGTCTAGGTAGCAAGGCCGATCACTACGTACGCAT